GTCTTCTGAGTGGATATATTTGGAAAATACAAAAAAATGTACATACATCTAGCGACAGGTTCTCTTGCCAACTGTAACTATCGCTGTGATTAGATACACCTAACTTTTGAATACTTCTGTCCTCTTGAACCCAAGAAGGGTCCGTATTTCATCACAAGGGCAAGATGTTAAAACGATTGCCCCGTTACGGGCTTGTCGGAAGAGGTGACTAACGGGATCGGGTGGACAGACTCGCTGACGTGGTTGACACATGTCACCGTATCCCAATCGCGTAGATCGATGTTCATGCTGTTGATCACTGGATTGTCAGGTCCAGACTCGATTATTTACAAACCAACACCATATAGCGAGAATACTGCCGAGTGGGACGTTAAACGACAAACAAACATACCATTACGTGGGTAGTTACAGTTTAGTGTGGCATGTCTCACTGGTCGTCAGCTGATTTCGTAGCGCGTGTATTGGGACAAGACATTCCTCTGTAATACATAAACCGACGCTCGATAATCCAACCATCAGCTTATCGGGAACAGCTTATCAGGCATCAGTATGACAGCTGCTGAATAAACACGGAATATGTCTCACCTCCAAATGTACTGTGTTAGCTGCACTATATACATGGAATATGATTCTCTTTAGAGTTCTCTTAATGTTAAATCCCACCTGCCCCGTCGGCGAAATTGGCGCCCGCCAGAAGCCGACGTTAAACCATCTAATTCGTCGTCGTATTTCGTGTGTATTATGCTGCGCCTTAATTTAACACGGAATATGGCTCTTGTATCATCTGTACTATGCAAGTTGTTGTATTTATCTCTTTCATGTGCACGATGGTGCGGTATACACGGGGAATGTGGCATGCTTCTTGATCTACCAGGCTACATATCAACGTGGAAACATACCATGCCATGGTATAAAGCTCCCAGTGTAGTTGGTATTCTTCTTGATCTACCAGGCTACATATCAACGTGGAAACATACCATGCCATGGTATAAAGCTCCCAGTGTAGTTGGTATTCTTCTTGATCTACCAGGCTACATATCAACGTGGAAACATACCATGCCATGGTATGAAGCTCCCAGTGTAGTTGGTATTCTATTGATCTACCAGGCTACATATCAACTTGGAAACATACCATGCCATGGTATAAAGCTCCCAGTGTAGTTGGTATTCTATTGATCTACCAGGCTACATATCAACTTGGAAACATACCATGCCATGGTATAAAGCTCCGAATGTAGATGGTATTCTTCTTGATCTACCAAGCTACATATCAACTTGGAAACATACCCTGCCATGGTATAAAGCTCCCAGTGTAGTTGGTATTCTACTGATCTACCAGGCTACATATCAACTTGGAAACATACCATGCCATGGTATAAAGCTCCCAGTGTAGTTGGTATTCTATTGATCTACCAGGCTACATATCAACTTGGAAACATACCATGCCGTGGTATAAAGCTCCCAGTGTAGTTGGTAGTCTTCTTGATCTACCAGGCTACATATCAACTTGGAAACATACCATGCCATGGTATAAAGCTCCCAGTGTAGTTGGTATTCTCCCAGTGTAGTTGGTATTCTATTGATCTACCAGGCTACATATCAACTTGGAAACATACCATGCCATGGTATAAAGCTCCCAGTGTAGTTGGTATTCTTCTTGATCTACCAGGCTACATATCAACGTGGAAACATACCATGCCATGGTATAAAGCTCCCAGTGTAGTTGGTATTCTATTGATCACAGACACGCACATACAACCATGCATGTACGTTGATTCATAAGCGACATCATCGTTAACTTTGTTGGATCACATGAGTTGTCCAACGTACGTCCACCGTGGCATGGTATAAACTTTCCAGTGCTGTCAGTGCTGTATTGATCGCACGCACACACACAGTCGTGCATGTACGATGCTTTATAAGCGACATCACCGTAGACGTTGCTGTGGGATGAAATCAGTTGTTTGGGACTTTTAAGATGCCAATGGAATCGCATGTTCACGTGTTTTGACTCGTTCATTGAATACAGGTTGTAGGGGAAAAAGTCATAGATTTGGGTAGGAAAAATGTCATAGATTTGGGTAGGAAAAAAGTCATAGGATATGTTCATTTCTCCTGTTTTGATAAGATCCAATTGCTTACAGCATCACACTGAAAGGAATAACTAACTTTAAAGTAAAATAGTATAAACAAAGTAATGGCGAACAGGACAGTTGTTGAATATTTTTTTTACAAATAACTGGAAAACAAGATGTTTTTATTATTGACGATAAAATTGAAATATATAAAATACAGTATAAACAAAGTAAATAACTGGAGAACATGATGTTTTATAATAGTCATTTTTTTTCCATGACTTTTTTACCTATGACTTTTTTTCCACCTAAATACATACAGTTCCGGTGTTTTAGCGCACCTGGCACCTGGGTAGGTGAAGAGTAATCTGCCTTGTAGAGCGAGGTACGCAGTGCGCCTTTAGTGTGGACTTAATGATGTGACGAGAAGGAGGCCTCATAACATCATTGGGATGTAATATGAGATTCAAGCTGTTTCTCTGAATCTCTGAAAACAATCTCATCAGCCATGGACGCCAAATCATGTCTTATGTCAATAAAGAGGCACTAGGTATGAATCATTTCCACTCCGCTGCCGTCACTCCGTGTCTGGTGTTGCAAACGATATCGACGCAATGGCACGCGCACTGTTGATGAATACATCTATTCGATTGAAACTGTCTTGCTTGGTACTCCGATGCTGCCGCTAAGGCAGAGAACCAAAACGGCAAAACAAACAAATAAATCTCTCTCTCTCTCTCTCTCTCTCTCTCTCTCTCTCTCTCTCTCTCTCTCTCTCTCTCTCTCTCTCTCTCTCTCTCTCTCTCTCTCTCTCTCTCTCTCTCTCTCTCTCTCTCTCTCTCTCTCTCTCTCTCTCTCTCTCTCTCTCACAAGAAAATACCATTACGTTATGAGCTTGATAATGTTATCAAAACGTCAAACGGGCCATAAACAGACATTGAATTATTAATAGTGGCGGTATATAAGTAAAGTATCACGGGGTACACTGTGGACCTGCTGTTGTGTTTGATAGCTATGCCGAGGCGACTCCATGAACACGTATAACACTAACTTGAAAACTTATATATACATTTCCATTCATTGATTCTTAACAGAAACCATTATTAGATATGTATAAATGGAAGCATATGTTTGTATGGACCAACAGGCGCTTCGCGCACAGTAAGAAGGTCCAATCTAACCCCGCAAACAGACTCAACAAGTGTCGGTCTTGATCGGGATTGGAATGTTACGTGAACAAAGAAATTGAACCAATACGAATCTTTGTTTACAGGTGGCCAGAGGGAAGATATTACGTAATTGTATGTAATATTACATGACAAGTGATGACCGGCGTTGTTTGTTTCGGCGGTCATCCGTAATACCCTCAGGTCAGCCTTTGAACATTCACACTGCTCTGTCAATGTGATCTATTATTGCAGCATTACCCATGCTTCTCTGTCCCCATGCATTATATTGATTTGCGGTAAAACCACAAACCGTTGGTCTGATCTCGGAATTTCCTGAACATAAAGATTGAAAAAGGTGGAAAACATAATTTTGCTCAATTTGGGGAAATACAATATTTTACCATGTGAAATCAGGAATGGCGAAAAAACTCTTACTTGTTCGAGAGTTGTATAAAAATAGATTAAAACCAATTAACATGAACATGCTTGTAGCATGAAACGAGGCATCTACATCGTCGGAAGTTATATCTGGTTTAAACATATTTTTATTCTTGAAAGAATCCGGTTTGGTAAACAAGCAAAGCTTTGCTTTTGTGAATATATCACCAGTACAAATAAAACACAAACAGAACACACAAGAACTAGACAAAAGACAGAATGAAATAGACTAAATGAAAAGTTATATCTGACGAGCATAAGAATGCGGCTGTCGCGTTACAGGGTGGCTGAATATGAAACAAGAAAACATGATTATTCGATGCTGAACTATTTGATAAGGGTATCAGACTTGCAGTACTTCGAGTTTCCTGGGTTGTCGCGCCTGTTGTCTAGCAACGTTTTATAAGATAACGTGTGTAACTTATTACAATTTTCAAATGTATACTCTATTTTCTAGAGAGTTAGTATTATACTTTAATAATGACGAAATGTCTTACGACACACTGAGCACATTGCGACAGACCCTGGTTGATAAAAGCTGATTAACTCGGTTAACAAAGCCGGCGGTCTGTCGTTTATGCACTAATCGAAACAATATGGGGCATTGTTCTTATGGACAGGGGTGAACCGACCATTACCACAATACTCAGACAGAAATCATATTCGTAGCTATTACAAACCCTAGCGATTGTCTAACTAAACCACATTTAATCTATTCGTATTAGACTTCCTTTGTATCTTAGCCTAAACACGCGGACGAACACACAGAGTTGGTTAGTGGCTAAACCAATACTCGTTCTCAAAGCCCGAAATACTGTTTGAACTCATTTTATTGTTATATAGACCTAACATACACACATATTGTATTGAAAACTGCATAATGGTTTATAATGGACTTCTTTATTTTTCCACTAACAACTCGTACCGCTACCCCCATCCCCACACAAGTCGAACTCAAAGCGGGTATTTGAAATAAAAGAATTTAAACTATTAAAATATATACATATCCAACAAGTGTATTAATTTTATACCGACATACTTTGCCGCTAGAGGCACCAAGATGGCGTTGACATTAACGATTATACTGGAGTAGTACTCGTGTTGTCTTCATGCAATACCACTGATACAATATTACCTAATGTTACCCATAAATTAAGAAACCGGTTCGACTTTTGTCCCCGTCTTCCAGCGGTCAACCGGTGACCTAGTTTTGACTGTTGCAATAGATCTGCCAATCAAATTCAAGAAGAGGCTGTGAACGTGCCTCCTCGGGACAATATAAAACCGCTCGTGAACAGTAGCGTCTCTAGTTGCTGTGCATTGGTGGTCACGGGCATTGTGAGCCACGACCGCCATTTTGGACAGATTACCCTTCTGATCACGTGATATAGGAACCGGAGACGAACATCATTATTTAATAGTACTCCCTTACGCATTGTTAATAGCGTAGTTACTTCTTTCGTTAGCCAAACCTAATACCGAGTGTTACTCGGTAGTTAGGTGGAATATTTCGAAATACTCCGGAATTTTCCTTGGTGACGTCACTTGATTGACAGCCCTCAAGCTCAAACATACGTCACGCTTGTTGAGAGACCGCCCAATCGAAAATGGCGTCGAGTAAGGTGTCCAAGGCAAACCAGGTGAGTTTCTGTTCTGTTTTTACAAATATACCAAACCAAATGTGTGACATATGACTATGGTTGATGTATCTGCCCTTAACATTGTACCAAGCTGTTTTTTATATGGTTATCTCTTCGTTGAAGATGTAGACTCTGAAAATCACGAACGCACCTTCTGAACATGGCGTGCCATCATTGGTTTCAAGGGCCTAGGTCAGCCCGCATACCTCTGTTGCCGCTACCATTTGTGAACCGAATCTGTAAAGACTGTTTCTGTAAGTGCATGGATGTTAAATTAAACTATCAAAGCTGCATTTTCTCCCTGGCCATAGTGGGATATTGAAAAGCATTCCACGCTCGTGCTTGCAATTACAAATTCGAGCTGGTTATGAATATTCATGAGCATCCTCGGAGTTTGAAGGGCAAATCTTCCACGGACATTTTAACCACAGTAAAAAGGAAACGCTGTTGTTTTTTAGTTAAATGCGCTTTGAGACTTTTGAAATTAGCGAGTGTACATGTTGATGTTTGATATTAGAAATTGCATGCATTGCCAAGCCTTTTCTGAACCTTCGCATGCGAACGCCCAGATCTTTTGAAGGATAGAATTAATTATGGAATAAAAATAGGCTGTACTGCCGGCATTTTTCGCAACTGAATATGTCATGTATGTGATTATATCCATTTGTTTACAACTCTAGTATGCCAGAAGTATGTAGATGTATGGCGATGCGATCAGTTGACAATGCTTGAATGAGCCTAGCTTCCTGTTTGAAAGTTGCCCAATGAAGTTTATGAATTGCAACATCCGCAATATTTGGCACGTTTTATGTATTATTGATTGTGCTTTGAACCTGTTTATGGCTTAAAGTGTAAGACTGTCTACACCCATGCCAATGATCAGTTAGAGGTGACCTTGTAAGTTGTTCAGGGAAAGTGAATGAACAGTCATGTGATCTCTCACGTGATAACAGACTTGGCTACCGTGAAGAAAAACTACTTTGTGTCCAGGTAATGAATGTAAACACTCGATAATTTCTGATCGTTGTAATTTAATTATGTGAAGCATTGTAGTTAGAAATGATATCAATATTTTTGGCAACAAAGTTAAGATTATGGTGTCGTAAAACAGTTCATAAATGTATTTCTGTACAATAAGATATCTAAAAATGAACACAGTGTAAGGTGACTATCATTAAAGTGTATACTTCAATACAATTATTGCTACAGCATGCTCTGTTACGCTACTTGAAGAATTATATAGGTCAAGTAAACAAGCACTCTGATTTGACCTCAGCTGAGCCCATTTTTAGCAGGAAAACTAAGTTCTATGGGTAGTCAAGTTGACTAGCCATAGAACTTACTTTTCCATCATCTTCTCAACTTATGAAATGCCCCTCAAAGAAAACATTTTTAGCAGGTTTTTTGTGTAATGAAACTAATGCACACACTGTCTTGTGTAGGTTATGCATGTTTTGGTTTTCTTTACCTTGATATTCACAAGGCATTTGTCCTATCGTACAATACATCAAGACTGAAACCAACCTCTCTATGCAGGCAATTAGGGGGAACATTCCTAAATTCAAGTTATGCTGGAACATTATTGCATTCAGTAATCTGAAACTGAAGGCTCTTAAGTTTATATACTTGTTTCACCAATGAAATACTAATTTTCATAAGGCTTTAACATTATTACTATATAAGGATAAGCAGGAACATTTTTTAATTTAGAGAATCTGGTACTGATATTTGACTTGTAACACAATGTAAGTTGGTAAGAACCTGACAACTTAATGCCATTAAAGCATGTAGTTAAGAAGTATGTCCATTAATATTTGCATGTGACTGTTTCTGTTATTTATTCCTTTCTGTTTCAGCCACGGGCTGAGAGCTACCGCTATGCGGTCACACCCAGTGAAAATGACGACAAGAAGAAGTCAAAGAAGGAGAAGAAGAAGGAAAATCTTGACGAACTCAAGCAGGAGTTGGAGATGGAAGAACACAAGATTCCACTTGAGGAACTTTATGAGCGACTTGGAACAGATCCCAATATGGTATAAACATTCCCTCCACATCTCATTGTTCCCATCTGGAAGTCTTACTTATCACACAACTCATTCTCATCCTCAAACATTACATATTTTCATGGCAATTTTGAATAGAAGCTCACTGCCCCCTTTAAGTATTGGCATGCTAGTTGCATTTGTGTACACTATAGTACATTCATGTTGTTCTTTAGTGTGTTCAATCTGTTGCAGTTAAGTAATGACAGATTACAATATTTTTGCAACAACACTGTATCAGTTATTCACGAATGGATTATGTATTTGGCATATAAAGTTGGTTTTCACATCATAGTATCGCTGTCCTATATTATATCTATGTAATCTATTTTTCACTTTTCCAGGGTCACAGTGTTGAGAAGGCAAAAGAAATTCTCCTCAGAGATGGTCCAAATATGTTAACACCGCCTAAAACAACACCGGAATGGGTCAAATTTTGTAAAACATTATTTGGTGGCTTCTCTCTCCTACTATGGATTGGGGCTATTCTCTGTTACATAGCATATTCCATCCAGGCTGGAGCCATGGAAGATCCACCGGGTGATAACGTGAGTCATCTGAAAGTTCTTATCTTCACTGTCTGTCTCTATTTGAAACTAGTTGATAACTACAATGAAACCTCACACTTTTAAATATGGAATTCTTGACATCATCATCTGAATTTGATTAATTCTCTATCCTCCAAATAATTATTTTATTTATGAAACCCCAGGAATCCCATTTTATTTTTGTCATACTGCATTAACAAAATCACAATCTATTCCAGTTATATCTAGGTATAGTGCTGACGGCTGTCGTGGTTGTCACTGGATGCTTCTCATACTATCAAGAGGCTAAGAGTTCCAAGATTATGGATTCCTTCAAGAACATGGTCCCACAGGTAATATATTTATTGGTGAATGGTGGTGTACTTTTTCACACTGTCATTTTGTTTTAGTAAAGCTGGTGTCTCATACCGCATTTCTTTTTAATCAAAGTAGTCTTTCTATGAAAATTTTCAAATTGATTATGCCTGCTGATGGCATAACCTATGGCTGGAGACGGCTATAGGGCTTGTTCATGTTGAAGCCAGTTGTTGAATGAAGCATTTAGGCTGCTTAAGAAGTTTGGCCATGACTACATGGTATTTCTGCTGTTCAGTATTATCAACACTGATGTCTTTATCACATGTTTATTTGCAAGTTATTGTCATTGTAGTTTGCTGTGGCTATCCGAGGTGGACAGAAGCACAATATCCACGCAGAGGAGCTGGTCCTGGGAGACATCATTGATGTCAAGTTTGGAGACAGAGTCCCTGCTGATATCCGTGTGATCACAGCTCACAGCTTCAAGGTATGCCTGCTCATTGTGTACAGTACTTTGATGTTAGCCAAGTTCTCATTCTACAATTTGAAATTTTTTCAGTACTTGAGTCTGTCTGGTTGTAGAGGTGTGGTTTCTTAAAACTGGTAAATGCTGTCTTTGCAGGTGGACAATTCCTCCCTGACTGGAGAATCTGAGCCCCAGACCCGTACAGCTGACTTCACCCATGAAAACCCACTTGAAACAAGGAACTTGGCCTTCTTTTCCACCAATGCTGTAGAAGGTAGGCTACTGTCAGGGCTCACCTATACTTTGTTAGTGCATCAAATCTTAACAAATGTTCAAAATCAAACTTCAATAAACCTTTTTTAATACTGTGTATTGTTTGGCTTGCAGGAGATTGTCGTGGCATTGTTGTTCGTACTGGTGACAAAACTGTAATGGGGCGTATTGCTAACCTGGCCTCTGGTCTGGAGGTTGGCGAGACTCCTATTGCTAAGGAAATTGCTCACTTCATCCATATCATCACTGGCGTGGCTGTGTTTCTTGGAGTCTCCTTCTTCGTCATCGCCTTCATCTTGGGTTACTTTTGGCTGGATGCTGTCATCTTCTTGATTGGAATCATTGTTGCTAATGTCCCTGAGGGTCTGCTGGCTACTGTCACAGTGAGTAACTATTTACTGTTTCATAACCTGTTTGGGATCTCATTGTGCCTGATATGATTCACTGACTAACAGAAAATGATCTAAAACATCCAATATGGAATATGAAATGCCATGCAATTGAGAACAGGAAGTATCAGCCTACTACATGATGGTATTTGTGCAGGTTTGTCTGACGCTCACAGCAAAACGTATGGCCAGTAAGAATTGCCTGGTGAAGAATTTGGAGGCTGTGGAGACCCTGGGATCTACATCCACCATCTGCTCAGACAAGACCGGAACCCTGACTCAGAACAGAATGACTGTTGCCCACATGTGGTTTGATGGACGTATTGTAGAGGCTGACACCAGTGATGACCAGTCTAGTGAGTACAAGATCAGATATATGCAACAGTCTTGCATCTGTGTTACATGTAAGGCATGTCTGTAATGAAAACATGCCAACAGTCTCTCCTATAAAATCACTGCTTCAAAAAAATGAAATGCATATTTCTAAAGAAATAAGTATCTTTCATGTTATTGCCGCATACATGGTTCATGGTTGTTTTGTATTTACAGATGCCACATACAGCCGCACTGACCTCACCTGGATGAATCTGGCTCGTTGCTATGTTGTGTAACAGAGCAGAGTTCAAACTTGGACAAGAAGACACCCCGATCCTTAAGAGGTGAGTGTTCATTCCGTACCTTAGTTTACATTACAATAGATATTTTATGTGCTCTGTATCTTTACATGAATTACTACAAAGAAATGGATTAACAGTACTGATGTCATAGACTGCATATATACTTACATTGTGGACAATAAGAAGTAAGCTGGTATCAGTTTGATAACCTCACATTTCTAACATTTTCATCATTTTCTCTTTTCAGAGAATGTAACGGAGATGCATCTGAATCTGCCCTGCTTAAGTGTGTTGAGTTGTCCATTGGAAATGTGACCGAGTTCCGTCGTCGCAATAAGAAGATCACTGAGATTCCATTCAACTCGACCAACAAATACCAGGTAAGTTCCTACAAATTTTTCAAAACATGTTTCTTTGGTAATTCAGTCCTTGACAATTTAAGCCCAACTTTCCATTGGCTCACCATATTTGCTGTATTTCCATTTGAGTCATAAACTCATTTCCTCCCCAATTCCGCCTTGCACGTAAGGTGCTAACAGTACTAATCACCAAAGGTGGCTTTGCAGTGATTTATAATCTTGCATTCAGTTCACTGTTGCTGAAATGCAACTCTGTAGAAGAGAGTACGTGAATTTGCCTGCAGATTTTACTGAATGTTGTGTATTTCAGGTTTCCATCCACGAGACTGAGGATCCCAATGACCCACGTTATCTGTTGGTGATGAAGGGAGCCCCAGAGAGGATCATGGACAGATGTAGCACAGTGCTTCTGAATGGCAAGGAACAACCCATCGATGATTCTTTCCGTGAGGCTTTCAATGCTGCTTACCTTGAACTCGGAGGCTTGGGAGAGCGTGTACTTGGTATGTAAAACATTTCTATATACTGTAATGTATAATGTAGCTTGTATGGTTTAATATCAGTAATGTAAGGCATATTTCATTGATGCAAGCACTCATTTCCTCATGACTTTTGCTTTCAGGATTCTGTGACTACTTCCTGCCAATCGATCAGTTTGCCCCAGGCTTCAGCTTCGACCCCGACGGTCCCAACTTCCCCATCACCGGTCTGCGATTCGTTGGCCTCATGGCTATGATTGACCCTCCCCGTGCCGCTGTGCCTGATGCTGTTGGAAAATGTCGAAGTGCTGGAATCAAGGTAGGTTCAGCTAAACCTCTGCTGATTTGCAGTTATGTAAATATGGACCAGTGTTGTAAATGTGGTGTATGTTTCATATCTTATATTCTGTGATTGAATGTTATGGTTTGTTTTCTAGGTTATTATGGTGACTGGTGACCATCCCATTACTGCCAAGGCCATTGCTAAGGGTGTGGGTATCATCTCAGAAGGAAGTAAGACTGTAGAAGATATTGCTGCTGAAAGAGGAATTCCAGTTGAAGAGGTTGATCCAAGGTATGTTGTAGACATGTACCCATTCTTACAGACAATAAAATAATTAAACCACCAAGATATGGACGAGCTCTTTCATATATAATGATAAGTCGGATCTGATGTCAGATTTTATCCACTATTCTGTACCCTGTTGTTGTTTTTCCAGAGAGGCAAAGGCTGCTGTTGTCCATGGTGCTGACCTCCGTGACATGACCCCAGCTCAAATTGATGAGATTCTACGAAACCATGGCGAAATCGTGTTTGCCCGTACCTCCCCACAACAGAAACTGATCATTGTTGAAGGTTGTCAGCGTCAAGGAGCTATTGTAGCTGTAACTGGTGATGGTGTCAATGATTCCCCAGCCCTGAAGAAAGCTGATATTGGTGTTGCCATGGGTATTGCTGGAAGTGATGTCAGTAAGCAAGCTGCTGACATGATCTTGCTGGATGATAACTTCGCCTCCATTGTCACTGGTGTTGAAGAAGGCAAGTAATGGTTGCAAAGCAAATTATAGTGAAAATGGGTCAGCAAGTACGAGTATTAGTGGGGCTAGAGGGTGGTTGTTAAATTGTAGCAAGGATAAACATAGGTGGGTCTGGTCCACTACTAGTTTGCTTATTAGTAATGGCTGACTTGTATGCTGCAGTTCTTAGATGCCCTTGATTTCTTTTTTCCCCCCCACTAAACAGTTGTAGTTTGCGGCTTGGCTGTGATGTGTGATTTCTTGCCAGTCATATCCAGTATAATCATGACACAAATTTCATGTTGGCATATGTGAATTCAGGCTATATTGGATGTGGTTTGGCTCTTTCTGAAAGAATTGTTCTTAAACATTGTTCGTTGGTCATTCTTGCTGATTATATTAATTATTTAAATCTTTAAGTTAAGAAACAACAATTTCAAATTCCCCTTGAAGTTAACCTTTATTTACGTTTGTGTAATTGATTGTTGTCCTTGCTTTCAGGTCGTTTGATCTTTGACAACTTGAAGAAGTCTATTGCCTACACCCTTACCTCCAACATCCCTGAAATCTCCCCCTTCCTGCTCTTCATCCTGGCTGATATTCCCTTGCCTCTTGGAACCATCACCATTCTCTGCATTGACCTGGGAACTGACATGGTTCCTGCTATCTCCTTGGCCTATGAACAAGCTGAGAGTGACATAATGAAGAGACAGCCACGTGATCCAGTAAAGGATAAACTTGTAAATGAAAGGTAAGAATATATCATGACCTTTTGACATTTTACTCTAGCTCCATTGTGTGATCTGGCTGACCTCAGACCTATTTGTCCCTGGTTTAACCCTCCTCAGTATTATCAAACTGCTATTATACAACTGGAAGAATACTGACAACTAGAATAACACTACCATAATAGTGTACCTATATGTGTGCAAACTTCATGTTCTTGTGTTTCAGATTGATCAGTATGGCCTATGGGCAGATTGGTATGATCCAAGCCTCTGCTGGGTTCTTTGTGTACTTTGTGATCATGGGAGAGAATGGTTTCTGGATGAGCAAGCTGTTGGGTATCAGAGAGGAATGGGACTCCGTGGGAATCAATGATCTTGAAGATTCTTACGGACAGGAATGGGTATGTTAATTAACTCAACTTGTATAGGTTTTTTCTTTAAGTTTGAAAGTTCTTCTGTCAAATTTGTTTACTAAATTATTTTTGGGGTATTTCAAATCTTGATTGTATTGACAAACAAATTTGTCTCCTACAGACCTATTCTCAGAGGAAACGTCTTGAGTACACCTGCCACACCGCCTTCTTTGTGTCCATTGTGATCGTGCAGTGGGCTGATCTGATCATCTGTAAGACTAGGAGACTGTCCCTATTCCAACAGGGAATGAAGTAAGTTCCTGGATTTATGTACTCTAGATAATGGCCATTCAGATAAATGAGAAGAATCTACTTCTTAAAAGCCATTGTGGAGCTTTATGCTAAACATTTTGACGCTTAAGCCAGCTTTGAAATACAATTTGTGTTCTTGCTTCTTTGTTATTGATTTCTCCTTATGTGCAATTTGTTCAGTTTTACATTGCAATATATCTCTTGTTACAGAAACCACAGACTGACTTTTGGTATATTCTTTGAGACCGCCCTTGCCGCCTTCCTGACTTATTGCCCTGGTCTGGACCAGGGTCTGCGTATGCAGCACTTGAGGTCAGTACTTGTTGAAAGCATCGGCTGGAAATTGTTTCCTTCCACCTTGAAGTTACATCTATGCATTACTTGTCGATCACTACTTGTATCCTGAAGTCTAAATCCATGTTTGTTTGTGTTGCAGGTTATCTTGGTGGTTCCCAGCCATGCCATTCAGTTTGGTCATCTTCATATACGATGAATGTAGAAAGTTCATCTTGAGACGAAACCCTGGAGGATTTGTAGAGAGAGAGACATATTATTAAGGATTATTTATCCTTAGTAAGGATGAATTAGGATGACCATAGAATCTTCAAATGCCATTGGGTGGGGATTTCGCAGGGGAAAGAACATTGGGAAAGGGGGGATATTCACTTGGGTCATTCAAATGTGAAAGAAAGTGATTTTATGCTCAGGAGCATTTTTATGGTCTTCGCTATGATGTCATGCTGCATTTAAGTGAACTATTACTTTGCAAGTGATCCTGTCATTGTTACCTGCAAATTGGAGCTGTGTGATTGAGAATCAGAAACGTGAACCACCTGTTGTCCCATGTCCGACTAAGTTTGGGAAGTGATGCAGGCAAGATGGCTGCCTTACTACACCAAGTCACTTTACAGCTACCACCACCGTCTTGTGTGGCTAGATCTGCCTCTTTCATCGTGTTTGATGGTTCACAGCACACACACATACTTACTCCAGATTAGCTTGTAGCTATAGAACCCTGCATGGGCCATGTCAACTGCAAGTTCAGACAGGCTTGGCATAGGTTTATTATTGTTATTACTCTTGGATATAATTTAATGGAATGATTTTAGATGACAGAATTTTATCATAAATCTTTATTGTACAAACTGTTTAATATTTTTTGTGCATTTTAGTATGTATTTCGCCATATTTTTCAAGTTGTGATTGTAGTTACATGTGTATGTCTGTGTCCGAGTGTCCTGGATATGATAGAATGGATGATAATTGCACTTCACGTACCAACATATGCTTTTTTTTGTTCCCCACATTCCATGTTAAAATGTGACCTTGGCCACACACCAGAATTACTTGATGAGGAGTAGTTCGAGGATTCTGGACAGCCCCTTCAACCACACTTGCACGGAAAACATGGGTCTGTCACAAGGGTGGAGTAATCTTATCATTTCCTTGTCACTTTTGTCTGTATATCACTCATTTTAAAAAGAAATCTGAACATCAATTCAAAAGTTTGGGGAAATAAATCACAATTTGTGTTTGTACTATAGACCTTATGCTTTATTTCCTATAAGAGAATTCTGTGTTACCTGTGGAGTAGTGAAATGTTGGGCAGTTTTCAACTGTTGTGATGTCTGCCAGATTGACGCCCATGTAAACTGCTATTGTAAAGCATCACGCATCCCTCCTCAAAACAGTATAAAATACTCAGATACAACTACCTAACTCCCATAAAGAGTTTGTATCTATTTATCGGTTACAGTTTGAATATTAGTCCACACAGTTCATGTATTGGATTTCATTTAACCAAGAATATGGGAATCGATTAATGCCAGAATTGTAATAAACAAATTTGTGTCAGGATTTATTTTTGCTTGTCGTAAATGACTCCTTACCAAATAATGCAGTTGATGTCGCCATGTATCAGTAAAATCATGCATGTAGAATATGCGACTGAAGGGTCCATACTTGTGTTTGTTTTACATACTTTTTCTGTTACAAGTTATCTGGCACGGCAGTAATGATTGTTGATTTTTCCTCAACTTGAGAGAGATATACGTATGTTATGACATATGCAATACAAATGATTGTAAATGTGTGAAGTATGTTGCTAGCCACATGTCAATCCACTGTGTAGGGACGGCCCCGCCTGGAGGGCCAGCATTGCATTACGTTGTTACATCTCCGTGGAATTTTCTTTGAGGTTGAAAAAATAAAGTCATTTAGGCTGACAATTGGTGTTTTGTGTGCATTGTCTCAGGCTTAAACTGAATGGGCAGAAATATCTGCTCATCTGATGGGAACAATGTTTCCAATATATGTTAGGATGTGTATATGCTGTGTTCAAATGGAATGTCTCACCCAGGCGATATTGAACCATGAGTCTTTCAATAGGCTGCACTTTTGCTGACTGGCTTGGGGACCCAGCAAGCATTACCTGGCTGACTCGGTGTTCCCTGGTGTGCACGCTTGGTGGGATTTGAGATCGCCACTGGTCTGCCTCCTCCACGTGGTCAGACTTTACAGCTTTACACGCTGGATCAAAGCAGTGTTCTCATGTATACCCCCAGGTTTCCTCAATGGATGTTGAAGGAAGATTCATGAATCATTGATCTTGTTTGCCTGGCTTTGTGTGAGAGCATCACTCTCCACCTGGAACTTGTCAAGATAAGGTGTGTCTAATAGAACCCACTTCGTGGATAAGAACATTTTGTGAAACGTATTAAGCAAGGTAGGCTCGATTCTTACTTCTCAGGAACATGACAAATATCTCATAGGTTAAAGGATAAAACCTGACCGGATTACGGATAAGGTCAAGATGATGGAAATCACAACAGGGTGCTGTTGTTGGAGGGTGTTGGCGGCTATTAGAGGATGGACATTTGTCGCCATGGACACAACTGGTAATGATTGTTTTATCTCTACCGTGAATGATATCAGAAATGATATTTTGGATAAAAATGAAAAATCCTAAATTTTATCTCCATTCTGCGCATTTGTCAAAGTGACCGCGAAAGGTGATGCCTTGTCTGTTCCCGGACGCGCATTCCTTAAGCACTTGGCATATCATTACAGGTCCAGTTGGGAGTTTAGGTGGAGTTAGTGTTTTCTGTTCCTGCTTCTAGTTTATGCATGACTTGTTAACTATATATCCCCAAGTTCCAGTTTCCTTGTTCACACTTTGACACCAAAGTTGTGAAGGCTTAATGCTCCAGTCGACTTTGGCAGTGTTGATATCTGTTTTAAGTTTTGACCCTGGCGTTTCTGCTTTTTATCCCCCGCAACGCGTTTTGCGGGGGGTATTAAAATGGACTCCGTCCGTCCGTGCACATTTGTCTTTTCCGGAGCAGAACTCTAAAACCGTTCAATATATCTTCACCAAACTTGGCACATAGATAGATCTGGTGGTGTACTGGTGCCTTTTGGTAGTTTTCTTTTCCGGAATTCTGAATAATAATAGATAGATCTGGTGGTGTATATTTTGGGAATAAAAACATATTTTTGGCATTTCCATGGCAACAAGTTTGACTGAAGCTTGAAATTGTGGTAGTGCTCTTTTCCGGAGCAGAACTCTAAAACTGTTCACTATTTCTTCACCAAACTTGGCATATAGATAGATCTGGTGGTGTACTGGTGCCTTTTGGTAGGTTTTGGAATTCTGAATAAAAACATATTTTTGGCATTTCCATGGCAACAAGTTTGACTTAGCTTGAAATTGTGGTAGTGCTCTTTTTCCGGAGCTGAACTCTCCTTCCACTTTTCTATATACACACCTAAATATTTGACATAATCATAACTCGTAGACATAATCATGAAGCGTATTTTGCCATTGCGGGGGATATTGATGACTTTGTCTTCTTGTGATCATTGTTACACAGGTCAGAATTTTGATTCATTTTCACATCAGCAGTTAAAGTTAGAACGTTTTGTTTAATGCGATGGAAAAGTTCTAGATTTTGGGCTTATGCTTAGATCCATAGACTAGGTTGATAGCGTTTTAAAGTGTCTTTCCGTCTGTGGCTGCTGCTTTATTCCATCTTCCACATCCGAATATACCTTGATGCCACTTGTTTATGGTTCTAAATTAGGACTCCGTCAGCTTGGCAGTAATTACCTTGAAGCCTCTTGTTTATAGTCCTAAATCAAGACTCCGTCAATGACTGTATATGTTGAAGCCACTTGTTTATGGTCCTAAATTAGGACTCCGTCAGTGACAGCGTATACCTTGAAGCCACTTGTTTATAGTGTTAAGGCCTCTTCAATGTGCGTGAGGTTTTAAAAAGAAAATTCATAGCTGTTATAATTTGTTATATACCTCCCATTTTCCAACGTAGTATGATTATCCCCATAACCGCATTGCATTATTAAGATTTTAAAAAAATACATACTGTGTTTGAAAATCAGAGGTAAATAACGTGATTGTACACCTCTGAATGACATTCATTAACCAATCACAATCCAGTATTTACTGAAGTCATGGTAGAATGTTCCCTATGGCCGGAATGGCGTGTTGTTCCCCGGCCTAGGAGGGGATATAGGAACGTGGTCCATCCTTTCCAGTCGCCCTCTTCTCAGTTGTGACAAGTTCGAAAATACAAATATATATTACACACTGATTTTACTGGTCACGATCTCAAATGTACAAAATTGCGTTTTACAGAGTTATGTCCCTTCCTTCGTGCCTTTCAAATTTATGCATTGCGTGAAATCGGGACAGGTGTTCTCAGAAACTCCTACAGTTACACGGATGTTCGTGTGTTCCACTGAGAGAGCAAGAAATCTTGATCCGTGCTGTGTTTATTATTTCAAACATTTCGTGAATAAATCCCCTGAAATGAATTTGTATAGGGTTTAATTCGTGATTTTGGTAAGGTTTTGTCAAGTGGTATTTTATTGCCCTTACCTACGAATACAGTTTTCAATGACACTGTCAATTTATGTTAATGCAACACAAGGTTATGTTGTGTATTACGTTTTACAGCATTAATATGTTTTAAAGTACACAAATGCAATGGCGTTACGTAATATTTATCACAAGTAATGATCTTAAAAAATGTTAATAAATCAAAGGCTGATTTGGTAAAAACAAATCACGAAACCTACAAATACCATTAAATATGTTGTGTTTCCACAGACGAACACATTAGTGAATGATATCCAAAGTTCAAGTGCAAAGGGACACACGATATACATGTGGGACATCTGAACATTTTCATTGATGTTTTTTCGAAGATGACACAAAATAACCTGCATTCGTAGGTAAATATTAACTCCCAAATGTTATCTACAAGTACCAACAACTGATGACATTCAAATAGATTAGTGGAGTTAGCCACTTTGACATGTGTTCCATTTGGAAGTCATCATGGATGAGACCAGACAACATCTTGGTGATAAGTAAGTGTATTTTACATTTTCTGTCAGAATGTATAGATAAATAAACTCATGTCACAATAACATAGGATGCATATGACACCTGTTACAACTAATTTTTGTGAGGTTTTAAATCTTATTATTGTAGAAAAAGGCCTCAGACTGCAAATGGAACTGACATGTGGGCTACAGTTAGTAAGACTTGGTATCACGCTGGGATTTCCCCGGTCGTGGCTCACGGTATTTGTACGTAACATGTATTCGTTGTTAACAAAATGAAATAGAGAACACAATACGCTGCTACAACATAATTTATACTAAAGAAAATTATTACAGATCTTAAAACTGATTAGGTACGCAGTACCGCCTATTAATAGATTAATAGAATTTCAAATGGCTACATAACTGAGCGTTCAATAAAAATGTTCTATTCAGGGATGCACTGCAGTTCGTGGTTTAGACTTTATTATAGTGATATAATAAATTCTTTTTGATTGAAATGTCAAGAAACAAGTTGATCTTGGTGATAAAAGAAAAAGGTTTGCATGGTATGATGCGATAAACGGTAGATTCGTAGGTAAAATGTGTATTCGTTGGTAACATGTGTATTCGTTGGTAGCATTCTGTATTTGTAGGTAACATGAGTCAGTGTGATTGAAGTCGTATGTCTTGTTGAGGGCTGTCAGCGATGCACTGGCGAACATAGGGGAATTGTGACTGTAGTAGAAGTTAGTTGCATGGGTTTAGTTGCATTCGTAGGTAGCTCGTTTTTGTAGTTGAAACTTTCTGTAAATGTCTATCTAATAGCAATTGTCATTGCCAACATGGATGATGAACTGTATACAAAATACAAAGGACAAAGAGTAACGTGGAGAGCGAACAGTTCAGAAAAGTATTTTGTGTTGATGTTCTTTGTTAGATTTGCTCGGTATCTATCAATTGATTTTGTTACCTACAAATATATAAAAAAAAAAAACAGTCCTGTTATCTGCAATGTTGTTTCTATGAATACAATTGTAGTTGATACATTTAAGACAAATAATTTGTTTGTTTCATCGTTAATCTCTAAATTGCAAGTGGAAAACCTTGGCTAAACATCGAGAAAAACCACTGAAAGCTGATTAACTTTATAGAGAATACAGAGAGAAACAGAGCAGAGAGTAAAGTAAAGTGTAGAAAGCGGATTCCAGAGAATTGTTATGTTTTAGCTTCTTTCAAATGGTGTTCTTTGTTAGAGTTTGTGTTCAGTTAATATTCAGAACAAATGTATTGTGTTACCTACGAATACATAAAAATATCAAAATACTTCAAGCGGTTTTAACATTTCTTTGAATACAAATGTCAGTTGAATCATTTGGTAAATATAATTTAAGGTGTAATGATTTTAGTTCAATTTCTGTTTCCACCAGTCAAAATGACATTGCTACTTTCCGACATACACTGAGACAAAAAAAGAAAAGACTTAAACTGGTTGTAAACAGTCTTTATTCACATGTCCTATGCACTTAGATAAACAATTTCAAAACTGTTCGATATTTTAATAAACCGGCTATGATTTAGTTTGACATAAATAAACATTTATGAAATACAAGGAATTATGCGATATTTGTTACCTACAAGTGCAATTTTTTTGTCGTCCATCCAATATTTAGTTTTTGATGCATTTTCAAATTTGTTGTACTTAGCAAAAGTTCCACCCGTTGTCTCCCAGATGAGTAAGATAGATATGCAACAATGATTTGTTTGTGAAAAGAACACTAAGTGGTGCTATCTCACTTACACCAAACAAAGGTACCAAAATGGTTCAATTTTCGTAAAGCTTGAGGTTATAAAACATGACAGAAACCAAGATATGGCTTCA